AATGTCCCCTCTGCTCCCCATAGAAAAACTCCCCGGTGAACAAATCAGTCCCCAAACCCGACCCATTTCGAAAAGATCCTCTTCTTCTGGATTTATTTCCTTTAGCAATTAATTCGATGTCTCTCTGTAGTTTCAGAGAAACGTGAAAGAAAATAAAGCCCCATACAGCCGCGGGCATGCCGTTGGCCCTGAGACCTGCCCGCGGAGGTGCGCGACAGCTGGGCGAGTGGCTCCCGTCCCACCTGCCCCGCGGGCCTGATCTCCACGGACCGGACCGGGGCCGCAGACCGCCGCCTCCGGGCGCCACCCGCGCTGAGGAGGGAGCCCGGGCTGAGCACTAGGCTACCCAACCCTAGGCAGCCTGGGAAGCTCGGCAGACCCGGGAGTCCAGGAGCAGCGGCGGCGACACAGCAGCGCCAACCCTAGCGCCTGGGGCTCATTAGTAAAGCGGCGGACACGCAGGTCGCAGGACTGTGATCCTCGAGCGGGAGCTCGCGGTGGGGGTGGTGGCGGCGTGGGGCGTACTCGCGTCACTCAGCCTGCCTGACCAATGAGCGCCGAGCCTCGGGGCGAGCCGGGCCTATTGGAGGCGTGGAGACCTGTGAGTGGCATTGAGGGAGGGCGCGAGAGAGTGAGCCCAAGAGTGAAGTTGAAGCTAAACCCCGTAAGCTATAAAGAAGTTACAAGGGGGGGCGTTTTCGGCTTCCAATTAGGAATAACACCGGCTTCGTAGCAACTACAGGGAGGAGGATTCTAAAACTGCCTTACTGGTCCCAAAGCCCACATTCGCCTCCTTTGGCCATGCACCCCTCCCCCTATTTGTGACCAAGAACAGGGAGCCAGGGAGTGCCCTACTCCTCTCTCCGGTGGGAAGCCGGGAGGCCAGCGGTGAGGCTTAGTCGGACGGCAGGCATGATTGCAATTAGAAGGTGGGCGCCTGCGCACCCGTTGCCGCCCGCGGGGACTGAAGGTAGGTGAACAGAAGACGCCCTGCACCCGCCCGGTGGCGCCCGCAGCTCTGCCGCGGAGGGGGAGAGGCTGGGACCCCTCCCACCCCTGGTGCCCGCGAGGGGCTTCTGTGAGAGCGCCTGCCACCTGTTAACCTGCAGTGCCCAGCGTGTTGCCGCCCCTGCTGGGCAGGGAGGGCTCTGGGTCGCCTCGGGAGTCCCGAGGGACTTGATGTGTAAGTGCCACTTTTTAAAGACTCTTTCAGGCTTGAGTCCCAAGTTAGGTAGTCAGACTCCAGATCTGCCAAGGAAGGGGACCGGAAGGCACCCGCAGCGCTGTGGAGGAATTCTGATTGTGGGAATTTGCACGGCCAGGGACGTGCGCCTGGCCTGGGCGCGGGCGCGGGATCGGCGGCCGAAGGTCTCCAGAGGGTCTTCAAAAATATGCGTTTTATTGTTTGGGCAACTTCCCAGGGGGCTGGAGAATACGGCTGACATGGCTGTGGGAATGTAAACATTATTTGCAGGGGGCTCAGTCTTTCTCCATATTTAAAACAAACAAACAAAAACACCCAGCCTGGCGAGGAAAGCTGAGGCGCACTCAGGCCCTTCCAAGGCGTTTTTCGGAAATGGGGCGAGTATACGAGTGATCGTTGAGCCGCAGATACCTTACGCTCTGATGCTGTTGTCTTCACAGTGGCTTGAAAGGGTTGCCAGGGATTGCTGTGCTTCCGGAAGGGGCTCGGAGCCGCCTCAAATGCCGTGGGACTGAAGAGCAAACGTCGGGGATTAATATGTCAATTTTCCGAGGACCCGGGTGCGCCTCGCCGAATAGGAAAAAAAACTGGCTCCCGTGGGGTCTCGCTGGCATTTGATACCCAGAGACTTCCCGCTTCCAGGATTGCCCAAGTTGCCGTGGATCAGCAGCTTTCAAATACTAGTATCTCGCATTTTCAGAGAAAATATTTTCGGTTCGCCCTGCGGTCCTTTCACTGCCGTCTATACATTCTCCCCAGTGCAAAGACTTCAACCTCTTCTTTCAAAGTATGACGCTTTATGTTTTTGCCAATATGATCCCTAATTGAACTTTATTTTTGATTGTGAATGAATCTGTGGAGCTTACCTTGTAAGATAAAAGGGGGAACGAGACACGATGAAAGAAAAGTCCAAAAATGCTGCCCGGACTAGGAGGGAGAAGGAAAACAGTGAATTTTATGAACTGGCCAAATTACTGCCTTTGCCCTCGGCTATCACCTCACAGCTGGACAAAGCATCCATAATCAGACTCACCACCAGCTATCTCAAAATGAGAGTGGTGTTCCCAGAAGGTAAGTGACTGCCCAAATGCAATTTCAAAGGCTGACTGGGAAGAATGAGTGAGGAGTGAGCAGAGAAGTACATATGTATTTCCGTGCATTTTCTGCAAAGGAAAGTTTATGCCTGGCCTCTTGACTAAGGTCCTTGCTAAACGGAGAATTCTTGTTGCCTTTTCCAGGCTCCTTTTACTTATCTTTTAATACTTTCTCCTCAATAGATTAGATATGTTTAGATGGGAAGCAGCCCAACAGTGCTTTTGTCAACACTTCAGATACTAGGCTCAATTGAAAGCACTACTAAATCCAAATACGACTTCCTTTTTATTCCTCTCATTAGAATTATATCCAGTAGAAACCATGCACACTGCCCATTTCTGTGTGGTTTTTTTTTTTGCTAGTAACAGAGCCTGTACATGGAGCTAGCTAAACTAGATATTTTTATATGTCTATATTCCTGCAAATAAGGAACAAGAATATTCATGAGAAAGTATATCCAGAATTTATTCAGTGTCTTGACTGTTCACAGCAAATGTATTCTGAGATTTTAATACATCCGTAGATTCTGAAACTAACTCTAGGACTTGATGAGTTGAAGTAAGATGGCTAGCCTGTTTAGAAATATTCGGGTGGCAGGTTGGCTAACACATCCTGGGAAAATTGTCTTATAAGGCCTGAAAATCAGAATAGCAGAGCTATTGACATGATTTAAAACTTGCGTGCAGATGATCAAGAGTCAAGGTATAGGACCAGAGCAGAACACTGTCCTATAGAAAAACATTGGTACTCACTAGGAAAAGGCCATTCCTGTCTTCCATGTTCCCAACCTTTCTTTTATTCACATCCAAATAGCATAAACAGATTTTTAAAAATATATTTTAGACATGTCTTCGTTGAGGGAGAGGGTTCAGAAATGTAAATTGGGGAGGGGTTACTAAACAAGCAAACAAACAAAAATCCAGGGGAAAAAAACCTTGTCTATTTATAAATGAGAACTCATGATGTGACCCATAGAGGTTTAAGTTGTTAATTTTGGTGACTTTTCCCCGGTTCTTTCTTTTAAAGGGCTGGAGGAAACAGTCATTATTGGGATCAGAGTGTCACTTGGTTTGATCTTGACCTAAAAGTTATTATCTGTGGCAAAAGCTTGCAAAACATGCTCTAGATTAGGGGCACTGAAGGGAATTTTAAATTTATCATTTGATTGTACCCTCAAACTGCAAGTGATATTTTAGTTGTCTCCTCTTGAAGCAGTTCTTTGAACAATTGTCCTCATCTGGCCCTCTGACCTTGGAAATTGGGGCGGAAAGGAATCAAAACCTAAAATATCTGAAAAGTTGAAAGTAAGAAGAAGGGGTAATTAATATACCAAAAAAATATATACCAAAAAACAAAAACCACTTTTCTCATTCAACTGTGCTGAGCTTTGCTGGTGGAGAAATTACCATTATGACACACTTTCTTCTGTTTAAAAAAGAAATCGCGTTCTTTTACACTGTCAGCGCCTACTTTATAAAAATAAAGCTATTGCGAACTCCGCTGGCCGCGCTGTTCCTAACAGGATTATTAGCAGTGATTTGTCAGCCCCTGCGGTCTCAGTGGGCTCCCTTTCTGCGTGATTTCTAGCCGGTCTCGTCAATTATCGGTGCCGTTGTCGCTGGCTGTTTGATCAGAAGTAGCATATGGTGCTGCTTGTGGGGCTGCGAGTAATCGCGGGAGGAGAAGAATAGTGGGTCGGCCTTCCCGGGCGGGCACCGAGCGGGACAACAGAGCCCGGGGAGTTGCCGGGCCACTGACGCTGGTCTTCTCCGTGCAGACCCTGGGCGAGCATGGCAGGGAGGGGAAGGGCTGTTTTATGTTGTTTTGTTAAGAGCGCAGGCTTTCCTGTTTAATTAAGCGCTAACTTCACAAATTGTAAATCTCATTATGAATAAATAAGAGGAATAAAAAGTAAACCTTCATGCCCAACTTCTTATTTTTAAAGAGAGCCGCTGAAGACTCCCGCCGGAGTCCCCTTGGTGCCCAGACCAGTCCCTTTTGGCTACTTTAAGGGGACTGTGCTTTCTGCACAAGGCCCTCATCACCTTCCTCCTAGCGCTGGACCCCTCCCTCCCCTCCCTTCTTCTGTGGGTGAGTGTGAGTTTATGGGGAGGAGGGGATGGAGGATGTGTGAACTCTGGGCACATCATTTATTTCTTCAGCTACTGTTGAGCTCATAACTCACCGGCAACCTCTACCCAGTGAGTTAGAAGGGTCATCTGAACAGCTGGCTCCTAGGGATGAGATTTTAATTTTGATGCTGAATGAGCTTCAAAATCCCAAGATCCAAACGCAGCCCTTTAGAATATTAAAGAGTAACAATTAACAAAAACAAAAACAAACAAAATAACAGCAGCTTTCAAAGAAGTGAAATAGTGTGACAAGCTGCAGAACAAGGCACAACCTGCAGGGGGAGCCAAATTTGGGTTCAGCATTGAATGAAGGTAGAAGTGTTAGGACAAGATTAGGGTCCAAGGTAATGGGGGAAACTGAGCACTTTAAATGGGTGTACGTTTGTTTGTTTGTTTGTTTAGTGATGATAAATGGAATTTGTTTGAATTTATCTTGAAACCATTCTAGTACATAGCAGGTTCTCAATAAAATGTTAAGCCTGGACTAAAGATAGCTATTTCATTGTAATAAAAATCCTATCCCATGTAACACATGGACTTTGCAAGGTATATAATCTAAAATCATTATTATTCTGGTGACATGGCTATAGGCAAACAATGCTCTTAAAACATCACTGTCTTTGTTTATATCATATTTCATCTGTAAAACTGTCTGTAATGACAAAAGGCCGTAAGTTAAATGAAGAAAAATTCTTCCATTCTTTATACTTGAAAAAAGAAAAAGAATTCTTAAACTACAGATCAGTTCCCCCCCCCACACACACACACATATTTCCTGCATACAGTTCCCCTTATAGGGTTCA